GAATTAAATAATCGAACGCATAAAGAGACGATTTTCCGTGACGTGATAGATTTCCTAAATGTATACGTTCACAAACATATGATTAGGAACAACTTAATCATACAGACCTAACAAAATATTGGACCATATAGGAATCGTTGGTATGCATCGTTGATTAATGCATGATAACCACTGCCGAGCTCCTTTGATTTTTTCAAATGATGAAAGATTACCATCATTTCTAATTGAGGCTTCAAGACATTCACAATAAATAGCTTGCAACTCGATTTTAAACGGACTATTTGCTTCATTTAATTCTTCTTCTTCATCGATTGTCTAAAGGAAATATATTGAATTCGTTATAGATGATCATAATTGTGAATTCAGAAAACGATGTATCCAGAAAAAAGAATATTAGAATGTTGTATTTGAGAAATATTCATAAGTCTGGGCTTCGTACTATTGTAAATCCACTCGTTTAAGAGACTTTAATATTTTCATATCCTCATTGTTGGTATTCAATGAGTCGTACAGTTAGTAAGCGAAGTACTCATCAGACTATTCACCATACTCTTGCACATATTTCCAAATATTGCTTTGAACAAAATACTCTTCTCTTTGTTTTTGCTAGTTTTTCATCAAATATAAAGAAAGATTTATTCGAACAAATCATATTTATACGAATGATTTCAACAGGAAAGATAATTACACAAATGACATAATTTTATGTTAAATACGAAGAAGTAAAACATAGGACTGAATTGAATAATGGAAAACGACACCAAACAATGCAAAAAAATTCTGTTCAAACTTTTTGGTTAGGAAGCCTTCCAAACATTCTATAATAACTATGTTAGACCACAAATATGAAAATAAACGTTTTCATGTATGAATCATAAGCCTGACATCTTACTTCCTATCACCTGTAATTTACACTTTTAGTTTTTTCTCTCTCATGTCTAGTTTTGTTTCCATCTTTCTTTTGTAAAAGTAAGCATCAGTAAACATATGTATTGTTTGGGAAAGAAGCTCAACAAGTTGTAGGAAAAGATAAAATTAGAATTCAGAAGATAATGAAAAATGAAAACAAAATTAAATGTGAAATTATAAGGAAATTATGTGTATTGGTTTCTTGTTGGAACTATTTTCGAACAACTTCCCTATATTGCAGTACTTGTATAAATAAATAAATATTCATATATGTTATTAGGTCTTGCTTACCGATCTATTATTATAAGATGAATTTAAATTTGAATTAAAAGATTTCCTTTTATTGTTAAATTTGACGTTTTTATCTAAATTTAATCGACTGTTATCATAATCATCAAGTTCATCTTCATTTCCGAATAGAAATGGATCATTGGTATTGGACAAAGCTTTATTTGATTGATTAATAGCTCTTGTAGAATTTGGATCATTCGTAATTTTACTAATTCGTGAAAGAAGTTTTGCATGATGGCATTTGAAATTCAAATTACTGTTTGTCGAATAACTTAAAAATACTTGACAAATGAGTTTCCAATTTTCTTCTATTTCTGACCATGTGCTCGTACTCACCAAGAGAGCGATGGACCACATAGCAACTTCACGCATGTCTTCGGATAAATACTTGTTCACGCGTCTTCTCATATCCTACAACATTGTAAAAACAATAACGTAAAGTTAATCAACTGAAAGCATATTCTTACCATCATAAAGTGTGATAGGCAGGCGTGTATATTAGTTTTTGTTAAATCATCAGAAGTAGCTGCATTGGTCACAATACGATAAGAACGTGCCAGAAAATTCTGATAACTTTCATTGTTAGATACACGTAAAGCTGCTTGCAAAAATACTTGTGCTCTATCTGATAAAATTATAGCTGGTTTCGGAAAAGCGTCTTTCTTGTTAGGAAAAACCTGAAAATAATAAAAAATATACAATAAAAGTGAATTTCAGTTCAAGGTTTCATTGGTATACTTATTCATTCGATTCGAGCAACATACGATTATTAAATACATCTACTATGCGTCTAATCAGAAAACTTCCAGAGTAGAACAAAGAAATATAAGTAATAGTATTTTTTAAGAATTCAGATATTAAAATAAGTGATATTAATAGAAACCATTATAATAAGATGAAAAGGCCTCTACTATATAATGTAATGTATTCTCATTTGATATTTGCACAGTAAAGCTGCAGCTTTCGATCTTATCTCTGTTCATAACGACTACAAAAACT